AGTTGTGTAACATGAACTACGCATTCTGCCGTTTGTGATTGTAATTTTTGTTCCCTCATGATTTAAGACTACGTTTGTCGAAACTTGCCTCTCATAGTCGAGTTACTTACGACTTACGAGTTAAATAGTGAAAAACTGTCACTTTGCAAGGGTAATTCGGACCACGTTTAAAGGGCGGGTACAGAGAAAAGTGTAAAGATTTTTGTCTTCGAAAACGAAATTTTAACTAGTTTTGATTGATGGCGCTTTGTTGTTTTTAAATGATTTAATGTGCTTAATGTCAAATTCCATAATGTTTTACTTTCATCAAGCCGCGCAGGAAATCCTATCCAGAGCGCGGAAAGGACGGTAGATCATAGATTTAAATCGTCAAGACGGCAGCTGCCTTTCGTTTTTCAGTTTAATTTCAGTTTAATCTTAGGACGTTCCTGAGAAAACCAGAAACCGTTTTTGCCGTGCGGACCTTGGATTCCCTCATGTGTTGAAGTAATCTTCCGGTGCTGGACTGGCGCACCCCTTCCTCGGCACCCAGGTGCTGCAGCCATTCTCCGAGATGAGATGCCAGGGCCCCCTCGATTCTGTAAGAGAAACGGCGGGGTGGATTGCTTTATTCTTATTGACTGCTCTGGTATTCAAATGAGGTACCGTCATCGGAATCATCAATCTGCGGTGTGCAAACAGTCTGATGACCAAAGAAAAGGCCAGACTGTTCGCAGACTGGTGACTTGACTGAATCTCCGCTTTGATAAGATTGAAAACGCCTCGAAGTGCGTCACAGAAATGCTGCAAATGCCGGCTTTTTAAGTCGCTAGATCCAGCAAGGCTGTGGCTGGAGTCAGGGGGTGCACACTGACTAGAAGAAGGGAGAAACGAGGGGTGAGACACTACTGTACTCATGTGTGCAAAGTGGCCCGAACTCCTTCACAAGTTTAAAAAGAAGGGTAAAATTCACTATTTTTTCCCACGATTTGGCGTTGTGTGTCGTCTCAACCTCAAAGTAAAGCCAAAACACGTTTTAAAATGTGAAATTTACAAGTATTTGAAGGTGTATTCTCCCGTACTCATGTGCACATCACGGTAAACACGTTACCTGGTTTTCCTAGGAAGCCTATGGTAAAAGCATGGGTGATTACCAGGGGGTTCCTGAAAAAAACAGGTACCGTTTTAACCGTGATGTGTACACCAGAGCGCTGAGTGATCCGCCCCTCGGGGAAAAACCCCTGGGGCAGAGTCCACGTTGACCCATCGCACGGCAGAATGTATGGAGCTTCGCGGGAGGAATACGGAGGTAGGATGATGGTCCAATGGAATGTACATAAAGCGACATAACACTACTAGAAAGGTCATACTGAAATATAAGACCGAAAACAGGTCATACTTTGATGTATGACCGAAAAACTGTCATACTTTATAGTGTATCACAGGTAAAGGCTGATATATCCCCAAGTTAAACAATAGCCAGTCTCGCTAATGTCTGACCGTTTTTTGGTTATACATTTGTGTAAGACCGTTTTTCGGTCATACTTTTTGTATCACTGAAAATCGGTCAGATGTCTCACCCTTCGAATTTCAGTGAACTCACGCCTACAAATCATGCAACGTCCATTAGGCCTACGGCGTCCATAGCAATTTCACTGACCGAGGGCATCTTTACTAAGTCTTACCTGCCGCTGGAATGGTGGCCTAGAGGCGTCGTAGACATCGGAGACTTTCAGGCCTGAGCGGTACCAATGAAATTCGAATCAGCTAGAACCAAACACGAATCTGATTAAGAGAGACCAGCTCCATTTTTCCGTTCATAGGCTTTATTCTATAATCACGCGCGAACTCCACTCAAATATCAGCGAAAAGATCAAATTCTAGACGAGCCGTCCTCGTTACGCCGCATACAGTCCTCTCCCTCGTCGTCGGGTGAATAACAAAAGTAATCCTACACCAAGACCCAGCAGCTCGCCACTTAGGGAGCTGCCGCTGCTTTGAACTTCATAAAGACCTTGTGACTAACTGTCGTGGTTGAGCTTTCGGCAGTTGACAGTCCAGGCCGATGGTGGTTTCTGGGTATTACACAACTTTTGCTCTGCACTCGGCGACCGACCGAAAGGCTCTCATCGAATGGTAGACACCAGCAAACCCTGTGACCTGACTCCAATTGTTAGGCCACAGTCCATCGCGATTCGGCTGAAAACAGCCCAAAACGACCCCAAAATAGGTATAACGCTGCAAACTTAAAGTTTGCCTGCCAGTAATTTGGCACACTGCTATTAGCATTAAAAGCGTGGACCATCGTGGTCTACGTTTCCTAGCGTGGACCACCGTGGTGCACGCTGCGTAGCGTGGACCTCGTCCACACTTGGATTAGCAGTGCAAGCTGTTTTGGATGCCAAAAATTGGCAAGCTTGGCCCGGAAATACCCCCAGCTGTCCAAAATTTGGCAAGCTTTTGAAGATTTTAAGTCAAGGCTTCCCAAACTTTGGCATTCAAAACTGCTTGCCAAATTTGTGGCAAGCAAACTAACAACTGGCTTTGCAGTGAATGCAGAGAATTTGAGCGATAACGCTATTAGGCATATTTTTCCGCGCTATCACGCCTTCTATTGCAGGCAGAGTGACCCGACTTTTTCGCGAGCGCCTAGTCAGACATTGGTGTAGTCCTGTAGTTATCGGACGCAACAGCGTATCACTGTGGGATTCCCTATGAACATACGTTGTTACGTCAGATGAACCCTCAGTTGTTACCGTTGCAACGTGCCTGGCCGCGTAGAGCGGTGGTAGGTTCCGCTTCACTGCCGCGCCTCCATGCGTCTGGATGCGTTCTGCACCGCGCCGCCGGCACGCTGATCGCGTCGTGCATCTTTCATGGCAGCTTGGGCGCCGTGCGTGCGCGCGCCCTCTCAAAGATTCATCGCGCTGCAGGGTGCGACGGGAGTGCCGGCCGGTTGGCGGCGGCATGCCGCGGCCCGCGCATCGCGGCGTCGGCAGTGGCGTGCAGCGCGCAGATCGGGCAGGGCTGTTGCGAGGAATCACCTTCGGCACTGGGAGGAAGGAAGGACGGTGAAGGGAAGGAAGGACGGTGAAAGGAAGGAAGGACGGTGAAGGGAAGGAAAGAACAAGTCGGCGGCCGCTGGGCATAAAGGCGTAAGTCACATGGGAAACCCATTAAAAATAGGTTGTCATGTCCGATGACCACTCTAGTATGGTCAACATCATGTCTGGACCGTCCGCACTTGCCACACCCTGCACGGTTTAAACGTTTCCTGGTTTTCCCAGGAAGCCTATGGCAAAGACACAGGCGATTTCCAGGGAGCTCCTGGCGCTAAAAATCCAAAGATCAGACTTCTCGCCACTCCAGAGGGGAGACATTAAAGTCTCGCCAAAATTTGGTCAGACACTAAAGTCCCGCCACGGAGAGACTTTTGTGTCTGACCGCCACCCAAAGGCCGTGATGCACCAGAAGGTTACGGCCTGAAGGCCGTAGTCTGACTAAAACTTGGCGAGACTTTAATGACTCGCCATATTTTGACACGAAGTCTTTCCATCCAATTTGCAGTGGTGAAAACCAGGAACCGTTTTAACCGTGTACAGAGAGCCTACGAAGCATTTGCCTCATAACCAATGAAGAAATGCTTCCTACTACGAAGGATTCTGCTGCATAGTGCGAAGCATGTCTTCGTAGATTTTACAGTGCCTTCATTTTCTTTGTAAGGGAGTATGGGGCGATTTGTAACAGATTTCGGAATTCTCTATACAAAATTAAGAACATTCTGCACATCGGTGTCAAACTTGTGCCAGTTGAGCAGTCTGGCCCTCCATCTAGACTGTGCAGCTCCATTGGATCAATCTGGAGTCCGTAATCTTTGAAATCTAAGACGTTTTCCAAACCCTTGCATGCTGTTACGAATCGCCCTAACATGGGGTGAATTGTAACAGCCATGGGGCTTTACATAACATCCTACACATTAAATGAAACATCATCGGGAATGTTATCTCCTCCACCAGTTGTTCTTCAGGTGTCCTGCAGACGTCTAAAAATCTACATTACAAGCTGCCGTTGACCGCCTCAGCATTAACTGATTGGCTATGTCAATCCTAATCTCACTTTTTTCAATTTTACACTGTGGCAAAAAGGTACGGAAAATTCTGTTAATTTTTTTTGCCAGGATTCTCCGTAGCCCTCTTATCAATATTCTCCGTAAGCTCTTACAGTATTCTCCGTAGGGTCGCACAGTATTCTCTGTAAGTCCGCACAGTCTTGTCCGTAGGACCTGGAAGACTGTATAGTCCTACGGAGATCACTGTAAGGTCCTACGGAGAATACTGTGCGGTCCTACGGAAAATACTGTAAGAGCCTACGGAGAATATTGATAAGGGGGCTACGGAGAATTACCACAAGCTGTTTACAGAATTTTCCGTAGCTTTTTGCCACAGTGTAGAG